CAGCTGTGCCGGGGCAGCCGGGCAGCGGGATGGGGGTGGGTTTGGTGAGAACGGGCACGGGCAGAGCGGGGATTGGCACAGGGAGCGGTGGAGCCGTGGGGGTTTAGCTCCGGGTTCCTCCTGCTGGTTAGTGCGTGGCCGTGGCTGGGAATTGCAGCTCCGTGGTGCCAGGCTGGCGAGCGGCCGTGCTGCCGGTGCCCCCGGTGTTCACGGTGCTCCCGGTGCTGCTGGTGCTCCTGGTGCTGCCGGTGTTCCCAGTGCTGCCAGTGCTCCTGGTGCTGCCAGTGCTCCCGGTGTTCCCAGTACTGCCGGTGCTGCTGGTGCTCCTGGTGCTCGCGGTGCTGCTGGTGTTCCCGGTGCTGCCGGTGCTCCCGGTGCTGCCAGTGTTCCTGGTGCTGCTGGAGCTCCTGGTGTTCCCAGTGTTCCCACTGCTGCCAGTATTCCTGGTGCTCCCGGTGCTGCTGGAGCTCCCGGTGCTTCCAGCCCCAATGCTGCCAGTGTTCCCAGTGTTCCCAGTGCTGCCGGTGCTCCCGGTGCTCCTGGTGCTGCCAGTGTTCCCAGTGTTCCCAGTGCTGCCGGTGCTCCCGGTGCTCCTGGTGCTGCCAGTGTTCCCAGTGTTCCCAGTGCTGCCGGTGCTCCCGGTGCTCCTGGTGCTGCCAGTGTTCCCAGTGTTCCCAGTGCTGCCGGTGCTCCCGGTGCTCCTGGTGCTGCCAGTGTTCCCAGGCCCGGTGTTCCCGGTGTCCCCGGTGCTGCCGGTGCTCCCGGTGCTCCTGGTGCTGCCAGTGTTCCCAGTCCTGACGGTGATCCCAGTGCTGCTGGTGCTGCCAGTGGTTCCAGACCCAGTGCTACTGGTGCTGCTGGTGTTGCTAGTGCTCTCGGTGTTACTGGTGCTCCCATTGCTGACAGTGCTCCTGGTTTTGCTCGTGCTCCCAGTGCTCCCAGTGTTCCCAGTGCTCCCCTTCTGGTGCTGCTGGTGTTCTCAGTGATGCTGGTGCTCCCAGTGCTTCCAGCCCTGGTGCTCCCAGTGCTGCTGGTGCTGTTGGTGCTCCTGGTGTTGCTGGTGCTCTTGGTGTTATTGGTGCTCCCAGTGATACTGATGTTCCCGGTGTTACTGGTGCACCCAGTGCTACCAGTGCTCCTGGTGCTGCTGGTGTTCCCGGTGCTCCCAGTGTCTCCAGTGCTGCTGGTGCTCCCAATGCTCCCAGTGCTCCCAGTGCTCCCAGCCCCGATGCCCCCTGCCCCACGCACAGCCGCCCGCATCCCTGCGTGTCCCGACGTGGGGACAAAGCCCAGGGGACACTGGGCTGGCA